TCGGCATTGATTTTTTTTTTTTCTTTTTTTTTTCATGCTACAGTTTTTTCTCGCCATTGGTTGTTTGGGTGTATTATAATTGATACGCGATCGGTTGTTGGATAAAAAAAATGAAAAGGACGCAGAATAAAAGTATTTTGAATTTAAATTTGAATTTGCATCCATTTAAGGAGCAAAGGGCTTACAACTTTTGGTGTTCGGCTACCCACAAGTTTATTTATACATGTATAAAATTTACTTTTCGAACTTTTCTACGAAATGATACTTTGTAAGTATTTTTTCGTTTCAAATAAAATTTGCCGTTGGTGCTTAAAACTGCTATGTGATGAAAATTCGCCGATAAAAGGTACAATAATCATCAGAATTTCATACTAAAGCATGAAGGATGTTGGCTACAAGGATAGCTCGCATGAGTGTCAATTTGTTGGCTCCATTCACACTTTGATCTCCAGCCCTCGCCACAACTTGATTAAATTTAAAACAACGCAGTAACAGAGTAACATATAGCAACGCGAGTTTAATCACACTGCGCGCCTGCGCTTTTTTAAAGCTCACCTAGCACGCAGTAACGTGCACAAACGGCCTACACAATTATGTGTGTAAATTACGCTGCACGCGCGGGTGATAATATAATTATTCCTGGGCGCAATGAAGCGTCAAACGCGCTGCAGTAGCTCGCTGGTTTATTCTCCCGTGACAACAAGTGGAGATTCCAATTAATTTGGCGACTCGGTCCTCGATCCTACTCAGCCTCGCTGCTGCTGCTGTTTTGCCGCTAAAATTGAATTATCCGCGTGTCCAGCGCCTCCTTCCGGCTCATCAGCTCGTGACTAAAGCGCCAGAGCACGCCCGCTCGTGCAAAAACGCTCGATGCACTATCACTCTATACGTTTCGGGGAAACTGCACCTGCACTTTGGTGCTTGAAACTCGAGCTTTTGCTTCGCTCTACGACTGTTGACCTTTTGCGTGCTCGAATCAGATTCTGTTCGTCTATCGATCGTCTCGATTTTGCTGTTGAATTGCAGGGTTGGTATTTATGTACCGTGTATCATCGATGAAAAACTTTGACATGACAATCTGGTAGGAGACTATTATTCAAATAGGCATAACAATCTGATCCCACTTTGTAGACTCTATACGAGCACAAGGTTATTTTATTGCATGTGCATTATATATCATCGAATGTTTATTCACGTAAATTCAAATTTCTACAACATTGGGATTTACGTGCGGAAAAATTTTTCAAAGGCGGATAATTACACTGAATAATTCCCGAAATAACTCCACGACGATTCACGCAAGTGTGTTCCGAGAAAAAGTTGTAAGCGTTTAATATTATCAAAAATAATCGGTTTTTTAACCATAAGAGTAAGATATTGACGTTCTAAAATGTGGGTTTGTTGATAAATGTGGGTGTCGGTCAGGTGTCACATAAAAAAAAAAACTTTCTCATTTTTCACAAACTCATCAGCTTAGTAGGCTAAAAATGTCATCAAAGAAACGTCACGTATTCATTTCACTAGATTAACCCGGGAAATTCCATCGAAATGAGGGTATAGGAGCAGCGCGAACATCCCATTGAACAAAACGAAGAGTCCTCCATCATTATCATGAAAATCAAAAACGATTTCCTTTGTCGTTAAAGGTCACCCACATAAGAAGACCGAGGCAGACCAAAATTTCACCTCATCTTCCGTCCGCTCCCTCCGCCCTCATCGAAAATGGATTCGATAATGGATCTGGGCATTGAGTGGTCCTTTTCTCAGCCACTCCGAATGACCCAGAAACTCTCCGCAAAGCTCATTTATCGCTCAAGCCGATTCTCCTTTTTCTTACCCCCTATCATTTTCACGAGAGTCTGTAACAAAGCTCAGTGGGTCTATAATATGTGGAGGCCATGCCTTTGGACTTTCGGAAAATTTACCGCTCCGACAAACTCTTATGAATGCAAATTTGGGTGTTTCATTTGTCGGGCTCGTTATCTCGTTTATATCATTGAAAAACCATCCTAATTGATTGATATATGTTTTTTCTAATAATAACTGATTGCTGTCGACTTGCATGATAAATGGGAATTTGTTGTATTTTGAAAATCGTATGAAAATCTCGAGTATGGCTACGAAGTGTGCAGCCTCTTGAAAACTCCAATCCACTAAATATTTGGTAACTGTACGATTCAGAAGTTCAATTACCTACCTTCTAGTCATTTTTGAATGTAATAAATTTCTGTGGATCTATTCAGGGGTATTACTACTTTTAAAAAATATTATAAATACATATATGACCCAAACTACTTCTCAAAAATTGCTTCTTTCGCTATTTGAATCATGACAAAAAATGGATGATTATCTGTTACTCGTAACAAATCACAACTGACTTGTGATCACAATGTAAACAGTATTTGATATATTTTAATAAATTACATCCAACATGAAGTGCAAATTAACGACTAAAACAAAATAAAAAATAAAAAGTCGTTAATTAATTTAATCTGATACGTATCTTCATCAAGTGATGACCAACAGTATTAAATAAATGACAAAAACATTAAATAATTAATCGCGTTACAATATTCCACCAAACATTTTTGCTGACAAATTGGCCAATCATCATTATTCCAGGTAAATTTTACAGAGAACGTATCAAAAGCTAACAAACAATAATTCTCCCTGCTTCTGTACTACATCCCTCTACCGTTGAATAAAACAGCCCAAACATTCCCACACGGAAACAATAATATCGTCTCTGGGTACAACTTTTCCCGTATGCGCACCGCGAAGCGGAAATTCCGATACACTCGGTGAAAATAAGTACCTACACGTTTGTTGCCTCTGCGCCAATACCAGACAGGATTGGATAAATAAGAAGACGAAATTAAACGAAATTTCCACCCTCTACGCTCCACCGGGGAATTCGATAGCAGCGACGCGGACGAACGACAGCCACGCGCCGCGCGCTCATCCTTTTCTCTGTCGAAAATTGCAAGCTCTTTGAGACCCTCCCCTCTACCACTGGACGAAAAATCCATACGAGTATCAGCTCGGCATTCCACGTCGACGTCAAACAAGAAGAAACTAAAAAATTTCATTGTAGCACACGACCACCGCCATAAATCGACGCTCGGATGGGAGTGACAGACCGATAATGCCTGTCGGACTCTAATATCGTCGTCATATCACGGATTTAACAGGACGTGTTGAGGAGCTTAGCTGTTTTTTTCTCTCTTTCCCGCCCATCTAGTACTGACAAGCCGATGTCTGCTTATGCGCACCGCGCAGGAATTTTTTTTCCTTCTGGAGTGAGAGATATGAGTTATGTCCGAATTTTTTACGGGCCTGCATAAGTACCGAGGATATAGGCTTGGCTTACAGCTATAGCTGTAAACATTGGCAAAGTGTCCTCTTTTTTGTCGCAAAATTACCCAAGTCAATTCAACGAGTGAAAAAATTGGTACTTCTCACGATCCCCATCAGAGCAATAAGACATGTCTGACCAAGCGTTGACCATTTCTACTGATATACTTTATCTTGATGGTTATTTTGTCAGATATCTCAATGAAGATACGCTTTCAGCTGTCTCACGTATTGTCCCTTGAGATCTTTATCAGAGAAAGGGAGAGAAGAAGCGTCTGACATAACGCTGACTGTTTCTACTGATAGCCATTACTCATGGGTGATTTCGTAATAGTTATACAAGGGTGTAAGTATAATGGAGTTGCACAATGAATTGACTTACAAGTTATCTCTTCCGATTTCTATCAGAGCAGTATCAAACGTCTGACCAACCGTTGACTGTTACCATTGGCAGTCATTATTTCGGGGTTATTTGTAAGGTATCTCATCGAAGACGCACAATGAACTAGATAAAAATTTGTACAGCACGAAAAAAGCTGTAAACCACCGACTTGGTAATAATTGACTAAACCATCATTTGTACCGGGAAGGTTAACCGGTGTTGTGCCCTAGAGAATACATATACATCACTCGGTCGAACGATCACTGTCAGACGTCCCATCAGCACGTCAGGAGGCATTCCCCCGTAAACCCAACCATAAATACCTGATAATCGAATAACCGTAAAAGTAGCCTCTTTTCTCATCTCAGTCGCGGCAAAACTCATAATTAAATCTAAATCACTCTCACGCGTATAATTTAACTTTGCCGCTAACGAGATACCAGTGGATCACTGAGAACTCGTAATTGAATCGGGGCTCCCTGTCTCCGAATGAAGAGCGAGAGATTACGTGCACGGGCGCATAAGTCGAACCGTACCCTCCACCTCTCCCTCACCTTGAATCCAAACCGAATAAAGACAAAATAACAAGCTCAAAGCTTGCTAGGGGTGAAAACACGTGCAAACACAGAAAGCCTCGGTGCTTCACGCTCCCGGGCGTTTGTAAAGCACGAACAGTTTCTGAGTCGTGAGACCGTGAAGGTGCGTTTGATTGCTTGGCGTTAGGGCACACACGCTCTCGGCTGCAGTTGAAAGTACGTAAAAAGTGTCGTCTTTGGTCATCCTGGCCGAGGGGTGGAGATACTTTTTGGTGCTGCCCCACGAGGGAGGTTGAACAATAGTATAGAGTGCAGTTTAGTGGGTTGTTTTTTAGTTATTTCCAAGCAAGCAGTTGTTCCGTTGACTCACCTTCAAAGAGATTCGATTGGTTGGTCAGTTATCGGAAGACGAGCTTGGTTTCTCTTTTTGTCTTTTATACAAAGTAGCAAATGACAAATTTAATTTGACTGTTCCTAAATATATGCAAACTCCGTCGTGGAGTGCGTGAACAGCCACAACGAGCCGACAGGTAAACGTTTCGGGGCATTATGATCATAACGCGCGTGTCATCGTCACGCACGACATCCGAAAAATTGATAACCATTGTGCGACGAGGTTTTTGCCTGAAAAAATCCATTTCTCCCGTTGCCTTTCAGCCGCTACGGCTGTCGATAGAAGGTGGAAAACGTTCCTTACTGACGGAAGCAAAAATCTCTTTTTTTTCCAGCGTCATCGTGCGACGTGGTCTTCCACAGCGACACAACCAAGGCGGGCCTCGTCACGTCGCCCGGTTATCCAAGCTCGTATCCACCGAGGACGAGGTGCAGGTACGAATTCCAGGGCCGGGGCAAGGAGAGGATACAGATCGTCTTCCAGGACTTTGACATCCATCGCTCGCCCGACGTCACGAAAGAGTGAGTTGTGTTTTTTCTTTTCTTACACAGAAAGCACAAATAATTCGTCGTTTAATAAAAATTGAAAAAAAAAAAAAAAAAAAAAAAAAAAAAATGTAATTTCACAAAAAATAGGAAACATAAGAGAATCAAAGGACGTTTCTAAACTGATTTCATTCCACAGATGCGAGTCGACGGACGCGCTGGTGGCTTACGTGTCGATAGAGAGCAAAATGGAGAAGATCGACTCGTTTTGCGGCGAATCACCGCCGAGGCCGCTCATGAGCAACGGACCCCGACTACTCCTCGAGTTCCAAGGCATAACGTCCTCGCGCCACGTCCGAGGCTTCAAGGCCACGTACTCCTTCACGGAGAGTAAGTACGAAGCAAGAGTTTTTTCTTCTTTCGCGGCTAATACGCCGATATATCGGTACCAACTCCTTGTTGGACGCAGCACTAACGAAAATCCAATATTATTTTTAACCTTTGATAACTTGGGTCATTCCAACTCGTTCGGTAGTATATAATAGAGTTAAAAATTTTATGGGACACAAAAAAAAAAAAAAAAAAAAAACACTGTACACTCGTTCAACGAAACTTCCTTCAACTCTCGCGGGAGAGATATTTCAGTTCGACAATGTAATTGCGCGACACCGTCTGAATAGGTATAGGGCAAAGTAGGACAAACTGCCGCCTCGTATCCAATAAGGGACGAGGCAAGTGATTCTCCTCATCTCCGCCCCTCCCGACCTCTCAAATATTTATCTCGTCTCGCGTTGTGTACCCACTTCTGCTGCTCCGGCGCACGTGTATCGACTCAACTGGAACGCGTGTACACCCATACTGCGCCTCCCTCGCGAGTAGGACCTCGAGAATTTCCAATGGATTTACACTCGGCTTACAGCAGCAGAGAAGCTAAAACTAAGACTCCGGGTATTTGCGCGCTGCATGCATAAAATACAGGAAATAGAGTGGGGGTAAGGGAAAATATGCGCCTCGCTGGGGCACATTGGTGTGTAGGGGATGTAACGTGCAGGCGCGTCTTGTCTCGTCGGATGTAGAGTTGGTAGGCTGAAAATCACACGGTACTCCCTCAAGTGGCTTCTCGTTGATGCAACCTTTTCTCGTGACGCGTTTCTGACACTGCTCTGAATTATAAATCGATTTGGGAGCACGTGTACCCGATGGGTTATTCGTTTACCTCGTGCACTATACTTATTATCTCAATTTAGGCGACACAGTTTCCGTATAATACAATACAAAATTGGAACGTAACTTTTGGATAAATCTACGGTGGATGTTGGTACTATTCGGTGCGGCTGTTTGGCTTGTAACGTTAGCGCAAAAAGCACCTGCGGGCGCATCGTCAGCAGATTTCTCCGGTTACAGTGTAAGTAAGGAACTGCCTGTGTATTGCCAAAAGACAAGAATATCAGTCTCGGAAAACAATATAACGAGTCAGAAAGCTTTACCTCGCGGTACAATATAATGACTAGAATCCAAGGTTTAGACCGTGAGATTTGCATCTAGCGAGCGCCGAAAAGTTACTCGGTTCACGGAAACTCGAGAGCCCCGTGTCTCGGTGTATATATGATGGTAACTCGTGGGGGTTACCAAAGTTCTAGCCGAGTATGCACTGTGCGACTTCTTATACACACATATAGTATATAAAATACGAGCTTATTCGTGTACATATATGTATGGGCGCATTTGCATTTTTCAGCGCTTGCGATAACTTATATATAAAATTGTATCATGCCCAGTGGTGCTGGTTGTACTTAAATTTACGAAATCTCTCTGGGTTTATTAGCCAACCCTGATACTGTCTTAATGGTTATCTCTCCCTCTTCTCGCGGTATACACGTATAGAGCCGAATCATTGGGATACGGCAAGTTTGGAAGACGTTCTATTAAGCTTTGGCTAGAAAGTTTCGCTCTGGCAGTACTTATCAAAGTTTTAATTGTTTCAACTGTACCGGCTGTCATGGCGAAATAAAGTGTGTGTGTGTGTGTGTGTGTGTGGGGAGGGAGGAGAATTTCATTTTTTTTCTTTCCATACAATAAAATTAAATCAAATTAAAACGAGTATTTTCGTTAAAATTTATATGCACATTCATCTATAAACGCGACATTTCACATACTTTTTATACATTTTTCATACTCATACAATGATATTTTAATAACAAAATCAATATACTTTCCGGGTATTTTAAACAAGTTTTTTAATCAAGGTTAAATTGCAGCATGATTATGCATTTTCATTTTCATGAAGCTGTATAAAAACGTTGAACATAGAACGGCTTTGATTTTTTGTGAATTTGTTTTTTTTTTTTTTTTCAACTTGTAAAAGTATTAAAAACTTTTTATCAAAATTGCGTTTTTAAAAATAAAAAAAATTGCAATTCTAGATTTAAATTCAATAAGTAATTAAAAACTGACCATAACTTAAAGCTTTTCAATGCTACAAAAATTATTCTTTGTTTTTTTTTTTTTTTTTTTTTTTTTTTTTTAATATTTTCCAAACCTTTTTACGAATGTTGCGTTTTAAAACCAAACCAGTCCATTAAGATTATGATTTCAAGTTTTAATAGTAAATAAAAACTGACGACAAATAAAAATTGGCCAACGCCACGTAAATTGTTTAATTCTTGGTTATTGTTATTATTATTTTAATTTTTTTCGTTGATTTCACACGAATTGATTGAATAAAAATCCAAAATACTACAAAAATTGTAGGCAAAAACCCGTACAATATACACCCACAATGAAACAAAGTTTTGCAACTCCACCAAACACCCATCCATCTCACCTCTTCTCAACATAAAACACACTGCACCGTGACACCAACTCTTTCGTCATCTTTCAGCTCAAGACCATTACATACAGGAGTCACAACCCTCACGTCCCCCGCGAGCCCAGAGACAACATAAATTACCACCTTGCAAGCCCCAAGACACACACCAGCTCTCATCCCCGTGGAGCCCAAGGCGCTGCAGAGCTCGACCGCGAAAAACTTTATCAATTTCGCGAATTCCAGGGAGAGAAAAGAAAAGCTAGCCACACACGACTGCCTCAGCTACAGCTGCAAAGTCCCAGCTCGATTGCAAAGGCCTTACTCCCTATATTCTCCCTTCACTCCCATTGGACTTGGTTTTTTTTTTTTTTTTTTTTTTTTTTCTTCAATTTTCCGGACCCTCCATAGAGCTCAATTATATCGGCTTCTGCACTGCTGAAAGTTAGTTCGACCACCCACGCGATAAGAGAGATTTTTGCAAAAGTACGCGTTTAGCTTGTACCGAGCTTGTACGTATACGAGTGTACGATAGGTGGAATACGAGACTGAGTCATCCTAACTTTTTGGCTTTGACACACGTAGAGGTACTTACAGTCCGAACGTTATTTGGGTGTTTTTGGATACTACGGATAAACTCAAAGGAGACCAGTGTAACGTTATTTCATCATTATTTTTTGTGAAGCTACAAAAAATGCACCCCAATTTATCATCAACAGATATTATTTATCGAAAAACCTGAGTTTCCGTATGAGAAATAGGCGCAAGGCTACGTTTGCGTGAGTGTGCCATTTTTTTTTCTACTTATCATCTTTACGCTTCGATGATCTTCGGGCACTCCAGCAACAACCACTTGTGCCGCTTCACGAGTCAATTAGAGGACATCGGAGAAGCATAGATCGAAAAGGTCCGATGCTTTTCGCTCGAACGGACGTGCTCTGTAATATGCACATTGGGGCAGTGCGTGCGCGTTGTGTATACATAACATGTCAATACGTGACGCTTGAATTTTTTTTTATCTCTTGGCACGATCGTTCTTTTAGTGACAGATTTTTTTTTTTTTTTTTTTCTCACAACTTAAAAATGAATGAGCATTTTTATGATAAACATACAATGTCCCCTTCGGTAAGAGTTTTCGTGACATTTTCGTGAGATCGGAGAAAAAATGTCACATCGGTTTTAAATCTTTTCGTGGATTCCGGAAAACGTCGACTTCGATATGAGTTGATACGATGATAAAAACTGCAGACATCGATGAGATGAAAAATTACATTTTCATCTTTCTCGTGATTCGTGTGGCGAAATTCTGAAAATAATCATCAGTTGGTTGCATTTGCATTTATTTCCAAAGGAGCTACAACACAGTAACATTTACAATTGTATTCACCTATCGCCAATTACAGTAAATACAGCCAGTTTCTGAAGGTAGCAAAAACAATTTAAAAAAAAAAAAATCCATTACAAATGAAACAGACGAATAAATGGTGCCTAATGACAAAAGCGTGTCTGCGTCAAAATGAAAGTACCTAACCCCTTCTAATTTTGACGAGCTCAACTGTCAGGCGTAATAAAAAGGAAGAATACCTAAAGAGCAGCAAAAAAAAAAAAAAAAAAAAAAAACAAAGCTGCCCCGCAAAAGTGAAGTGCACTAAACTAAATTGGACGCGCAACTCGACGAAACAATAATACTAAGAGAGGCGAATGCCGTATAGTTTTTAGGTAGGGGTGCGAGCGCCGGATTGGCCCGCGGTCAGCTATCCAGTTCTGCGAAGCATCGACGGTTGAAATTCGTTTTTGCGATAAATTCGCGTGCACGACACTCGCACAAAGAGAGAGAGAGAGAGAGAGAGACGAGGGGAATTCAATCCACAGAGTTGGGCGCCTGTCATTTTCAGCGCGCCGTTTTCGCGCACGCACCTCGAGCGCTCTTTTTTTTCCCTGATGGGCGTGTTTATGTGCTCTTTGGGGCTTGGGAGTAGGATAAATAAAAACGTGGATAAACAAAATACGCGCTGCCCTCGATCTAGGGGATCGTGTATGAAAAATGTCTCTCTGCGTGTGTGCTTGTTTTTTTACCATTTGAAGTATTTTATTTATATTTTTTTTTTTTTCTTTTGAAAAGCCCCAATTAAACTTGATCCTTTTGGTCCCCTTTATAATCGAATGGTTTTTTTTTAATTAGAAGGGAAACAAATATTATTCGTAGAGGGAAGGGAACAGTATATTTTTTCGCCAATCACATGTGCCATACAAAAGCTTTTTATTCGTTGGGCAAAAAAAAAAAACTTGCAAGTGATTTTCAAAAATTTTCTTTTACGATCCGGTAGTTCAACACGGAGCTTTGTTTCAAACACCCAAAAATATACACTTTTGGAAACATGAAAAACATTGCACGCTTAGTTTGAAAAACATGCTTCATCACGTAGCGAAAAATCAAAACTACCCAGAAAGAGAGAAAAAAAAACAAATGTACGAGTACATTGCTGTAAGAAAACGAAGGAGGAGCGGATGGGAGGCCGAGAGAATAAGAAACAAGGATAAAAAACGAGCAACAACAACTACGACAACGAGGTCTCGCAATGTGAGCACTGCAGCCACCGACAAATGCACTTTTTTTCGTATTTACTGGTAGAATCCCATTCGAGCACGGGAGGGTACCGTCAGCCTATTTTTAAAATTGTTTACGCTCTCGTCCCTACGCTCTCCCTGTTTGCTGTTTCCGTTGTTACAGAAATAATAGTCTCTCTTTTATATTTTTCTGCAGGCTTTGCAAACTGGAAAAAATTCCGCTCGCGGGGAAAAAACAAAAAAAAAAACATTTTTCCTCCCTCTTGATAACGCACGCGCTCTGGCTTTGCAGAAAAATTATAACTGCTCGGCATCAAAAGTCCATCCATCTACCGCATCGCTCTATCCCGAACGCACCAATAAAATGAAAAAAAAAAAAAAACTCGTTTCACGCGCAAGTGCAAACACAGACACAACCCAATCGACATGTATCTCACAGTCAGCCCGTACCGCCGTACTCCCCCGGTGGAATAATCGATCAGATCAGCGGGACGCAATCATCGCGACAATACGGACTGCGGCAGCGGTACACGCGCACGGCTTATTTCCCACGGCGGCGAGCCGTGAAATTTGCAGACACGGTTAAGCGTGTACGGGTCGCCACTAAAAGGGGTCGTGTTCGTGTACTGCGCAGCAGTGGACACAATGTGTTTAATACGCGGTGGAAGGAACGGTGTGATTCGCGCGTTGCTGCTTCCGACACGGCCGCGCGAGATATTGATACGTGCCCCTGCGGTCGCGTCTCGCCGAACCGAATTACGCCAGCTCATTGATGCTGACTCGAGGCGTTTTATCTCGCGGAGGGTTGGTCGAAAAAAAAAAAATTATACCGCGGTGTATGGCTTTTGGGCAGAACAAGTGAAAGTATCGGATTCCCATGGGCTCGCTTTATATTGACCATGTCGTATGAACAGAGGCCATTAATTGACGTTGCTCCGTTTTTTTTCCCCCTTGTTCGCAGATTTTGGGATAACAACAGGCAAACAGGAGCCATCGTACCCCTGCGCCTTTGTGTTCAATAGCAACGAGACCCTGAACGGGACCTTCACTTCACCGAATTATCCGGGATACTATCCGCGGGACACGGAGTGCCATTACTTCTTCAACGGGTTGGCCAAGGAACGGGTGCACATCCACTTCTACTTCTTCGACGTCGAGGGAGTTCTGCCGTGAGTTATACTTGTATACCTATACTCATAAAATCCTCATCAAATCTATATACTACACTCGACTGTACGTCTATTAGTACATATGATCAAATTTATATTACATGTGATTTTACACTTGAGCATTACACGTAAGATGGTAAAGACCTGTTGACGTGGCCAGCAAGAAAATGACCTGCTAATCTGCATTGCACAACTGATTGTCAAAAACAAATTTTCCAGTTTTTCAAAGTATAAAATATCTTTCAATTAAACAGAGACAGTAGAGTCCTACCCGACAATACACACGTGCAACTTGGGTGTTTTTTGAGCTAATTAATTAATCAAAGCCACTGTACCTACGAGCTCTCGGTGCCTTCCCCGTTACGACTCTGCAATCAGAGTCTCCCCCTGCAAACGTATCTACCAGTCGCGGTAGGAGTATTATTAGTCTTGTTCATCGTGGCCCTCTTGATATCGGATTACAGATGCGAGGCAGTGACGGCGAGCGACTTTGTCGAGTTCTCGAACTACATGACGCGCGACCGCAAGTACTCGCGCCACTGCGGCCAACTGGCCGAGTTCGACGTCGCCTCCGATCGGTCCTTCTTTCGCGTCACCTTCAAGAGCAACGATCGACTCGACGGCACGGGCTTCAACGCCAGCTACGTCTTCGTCAACGAGGAGGACAACTACACCCTCAAGACCCCCGTCGGGGCAGCTGGTCCCGTCGCTACGTCTGGTGAGTTGTGGATTTCGATGCAGATTTTATTCTCCCCCCACTGGAAAACTCACGTAATTTAATGTTACCCTTTGTGGTATTGTATCCAATGGCACGTGGGATTCAAGCCGATGCTTAAGTGTGAGCTCTACTGATTATGGCCATTGTTACACTTTGTGCTATTAATTAGAATGCAATACCGTGAAAGGGAGTATGGTAATCACGTCGGATATAATTCTGGGCTTATTAATTACCACGCGATGCTCAAACGCGTCAAATGTCGGTACTGTGCCCATACTTTCGTTTGTGTTAACTACTGTACAATTAACTTTATGCGTTAATTTAACTATATTAATATAAGAGTAAGCACCCGTCACTGTGAAATTCATGTAAATTGATGCGTTGACAATAATACCCGTGGTGTTTGTAGGAAAATTACTTTTGCACGCGCGCGTATGAGCTATTACATTGTTCGTTTGACATGAAAACTTGTGCGTCAGATATATGGTTCCTGGCAATAGTTTAAATAATGTTCCTTGTACTGCAGATCTCGTTTGAAACTTTTATTTCCGATGGCGGGCTGCACACCTAAAAGTGTTTAACTAAGTCAAAGTAGATAAAAGTCTAATTTGCTGGAATGATTTTTTTTTTTTTTTTTCTCTTGTCAATGAATTCCGATTTTTCCAAAAGTCATATACATCTCGATGCGAGAGATATACCGTGCAAAAACATTTTCTCCCGCCTCGTAATTTTCGCCAATCGAACGAATCTCTCTCCACCAATCCCCTCCCCCCTTCACCAAACCTCGCATGGCGAATCCGGACAAATTAATTTTCCACGATCAAGTCCCCCTCGGCCGCTTTCATGCGTAAATTGAGTGCTTGTTAGCCGGTTTGCTCGCACACGTTACATGATTTTCATACATACATGCTCGCGCGCGTGCAAGCGTAATGCTAATGGTCGTTATTGATTGGAGTATAATAAGCAATCAGCCGAGATTTCGCGATGATTTGCTTCGCGCCCTTTCGGCAGTTCATTAATTTGCGCGGATCATACCGAAATCCACGCTCGCGCGGATTATACAATGTTTGGGGTACGTGACTTTTTTTTAACGGTATAACGAATGGTTTGTACTCTTATAATGAATTTCATGGCATTTTCATCAATCTATAAAAATAACGGATAACATTCGTATTTCGTCCAGAGGAATTTGAGTGATGCCACTTCGTGGCTAACACGATTACCCGCAAGAGTGCCAAGTATTGCTCTGTGGAAGGGGGGGGGGGTGGAAAATATTTTCACCAAAAAGACAAATTGTACGTGGAGCGTAGGAGTAGCAAGACTTTCGTGCAGGCAGGCGTGAGATGGATTTTTTCGGATTTAATATGCACGCGTACAACTTTGGATGTACGTGCCCGAGCTTGTCACTTCTGGGCGTGTTTTTATTTTTATTTTATTTTTTCTCCCGCGAGGGACGAAAAACATTTTCTGCTCTAAATGATGTTTGGAGGGGGAGGAAAAGAGGGACGCGAAGGTGAATTGTTGTGCGCAAACTTCGCGTTACGTGTACGTCATTGAGATGCGCTCTCGGGGGGGGGAGGGGGGAAGTAGTAGAGCTCGCGTTATAGTCAGACATCGCTTAGTAACGAACAAGCGGACTGAAACTTTTATGCGGACGGAAGCGTGGTGCTCTGGCAAAGCATGAGTGTATTCTTTATGTTATTTTTCGCCTCGCGTCACGATTACGCTGCACTTCAAAATCTTTTTACCTCCTGTATTCAAACGTGAAAAGATGTACGGAAGAAAGAAAAATTTAAACAAAACTGCTATATTACGAGCTAACACTCTTGCTTGCTTTTTAATACGTGGATGTATGAAATGCAAAGCAAATAGTGTGTATCCACCAACAGACTTTTTTTGCCTTGTAAATATCCGCTATTATTTACAGGTCACGATCCAAAACCTTTTTTCCTCCGGTCCAACAGCTATAGCTAATGTATACATTTGTTCTCCTCGAGCGCAGCTGTGCTCGACGCACAAACAGGCGAAATTGGACTGAACCTAGAGGACAAAAAAAATGAAAAAAGCCACGTTCTTTTCATTAAAGACATTCGCGTGTTAATCAAACGTGAAAGCAGTTGTATTGTAGTTGGACCAAGCAAACTCAGTGTGAGAAAGAGCACGTAATTAACGAACGGGTAAACTGTGTCGATATAATATTAACGTGCGCGATACATCAACAACTTTCATTTTGCACCATTTGATTTTTTTTTTTTTTTTTTTTTTCATACATCTCCTATTTTTCCGCACCCCTGCTCAATCAGACATGCCATTGAAAGGAAGAGAGTCGTAAATTTTTAACAAACTGCAGCGCTTCGAGCGCGCGGATCGATATCTTTTTGCTTCCTATGTGAAAAAAAAAAAAGCTGCCGTGATACGCCAATTTAAAGTTCTTTTAAGCTCCCCTCACACTGGATATTCGCGCGGATAAAAACTCGAGGACGTGTATATACATACATGTGCCTACCTTCGCAAATTGCAAAGATGAAAGCAACGATGGATAAAACATAAAAACAACACGGCGGAAAATTAAGAAAAAGCGCAAGAGAAGCGTGGCATCATCAACAAAGTTCTTGATTACGTAACGAATACCTGATGAGGTTGGCCGCATTTTTGCCACAACTGACGCACCTTGGGTCGCTCGACTCTTCGACGGAGCCCATCTCGAGTCCTAACGAAGGGGGTTGGGAAAAAGAATCATTAATACGTAACGAAGAGACCAGATCCGAGAGAGAGAGAAGGGAAGCGAGTGGAAGGCAAGTTATGAGACAGGGGGAGAGAAACAGACCCACCCCGTACAATGTATAATGCAATGTGTCATTAAAAGCAGAGTGATGATACACACCCACTCGCACCTCTTCACTCCAAGGCTCGTCTCTCACCTTTCCTTTTTCCTGTGTAAATACATCCCATTACCCTCGTTCCAGATATGCAAGACACCTTCGGTCTTTGCCCGAGTCGTCGTCATCGTTCGCTTTTACCGCCCCGCCGATCTAATTAAGGCATTCGTGGCACTTGCTCGGGCCCGAAAATCACGTACGCTCCATAAACCCCCAGCGTCGCTTTTAATTTCTTCTACTTGGTGTGAGAGCTGGCTCTTTGGCAACAGCATTGAACGCAGCAGTTGTTTTGCTTTGGCTTCCGACTTTCGAGCCCAATTAACACTTGTGGCTATCGCGAGTGCGTGTACGGGAGGGTGAAAATGGAGAGGTACACGGGAAAACACGCGCGCATGGAGGGTGAGTGCTGGGTATTCATTAACGGCGATGCTTCGCTTGGATGGATTAACCGGAGGGTAAAGGGTAAGCTATTTTTTTTTTTTTTTTTTTTTTTTTTCAATCCATCGAGGTACGTAAAATTTTTCGTCCGAACGGAGCTTATTACGATGGATGAAAAGAGGGTGGATTTTTACTCGTTTGGTCCCGCGTTTCACCAAATTTTGCACGGCTAAAGTATTAACATACGCAAAGTGCGTAACTACAACTGAATACCTATATACTTTCGAAAGGAGAAGAATACACAGTTTGGCCGTGAATGGGTCCTGAGAGCGAATGGAAAAGTTTCCGCGCGCAAAACTTTGTTCCGAAATAAAGCACAGGACCCCGAAGGTACAGTTTCGCGGATTCGTGCATATAATATTCTGTTGGCTCTGAAACGCAAGGTGTGGGTGGGGTGTGAAAATTGTCGCGCAGACGTTCACGTCTCCTCCGATTCAACGAGAAGGACACCACGTCTTGCCGGGTTTTTAATTAAAAGTTCTTGATCGAAGCTGATGAGCACCGATAAGAATTCGATTGCACGAGTGCTATCGTGGTGTGAAATTAATACTTGCAATTGCCATTTTTGCATAACCAAAAGCTCCCGAGTTTCGCCTCAAACTCTCTCTCCTCTGAAACAAAAATCTTGACATCTCAAATGTACCCTCGATCCGATGGAGAAAAAAAAAAGTGGGATCGTAGTACCGGTCCCTTTAGCAATTTTTAACGCAAATGAAAAGGTTACCTCAACTGTATGTATACGTATGCAAGGAAACATTAAGGGGACCGAGGGATTTTTATGGGGACGTTTCGATTTCGAGAGCAGGGAAGAAGAAAAAGTGGAAGGAGAAGAAGAAGAAGCAGTTTATGGGTCGGGAGGTTCTTGTGGGTTTAACGACCGCTGAGAATCCGGGGCTAGTCATGTTGGGGGAGAGAGTTATGCTCATTTCGGGCCGGCATTCTATGCCCTCGGGCAAAGGTCACGGAACTCTGTAACTTACGGGGGATTTATCCCAAAGTGATGGGATTTCTAGCTCTTTATCAGATGCATAGGCGCACTATTTTTGAAAGTGCGTCCTTTCCTGAAGAAATTAAAGGACTAAATGAAGGTGTACTCTATTTTTTTCTATATTTCAATCGCCAAAGATGGTACATTTTACAAAAAGTACGTATTTTATTCGCATGAAAAATGGTATGCGCGGGCAGGTATGGGGTACACGATATATCCCGGGTGGCTTTTGATCGCGGGAATCCCAAAGGGTGGGGGAGGAGAGCCGTAATGCGAGTAATCCTCCCGCTAAGAGAATCGTGAAAAGAAAAGCGGAGGTTCAAAGAGCCGAGACTCAAAGGGAAAAAAGAAGGGGGTGCGAACGGGCTTGTACACACCGAGAGCTAAGGAGATAAATGGAAACGCGAAATGAGATTTTCCCCCGCTTTTCGTTTGCCCATCGCTATGAAAGGGTTTTCCGGCCAATCTAATGGGGTGCGGGCGAAGGGCGGGCTTTATACAACTCTGATCTGCATAAACTGTAGTGTAGCTTCTCGCGCGGAGTCAATGAGTTTTGACATCGATTTATTATCGTTTTCTACCCATTACGTTGTTCACCGCAGAAAAAAAAAATCACGAAAACACCGCCTCGCTTGCAAGGCAGCTTTAGCCAATGACGAGTGGAGGCAACATTTTCGCCGACACCCCTCAGTACCGGTACAGTTGCAGCGTAAGATACTTGAGCCCGTGTGCGCGTACCTACACACACACACACACACAAAGGCATTGAGCCGCTCTCGAGCTTCCTACTCTCATCCCCCTGTGTAGCGGTGCACTTGAATCCGCTTTGCGCGCTCGAACAGAGTTGCCCCGCGAGTGGCCCCTTGATAAAAGCACACTTGGAAACAATTTATATTAATACGAGGCTCCTCCTCCTCGTTATCGTCTTATTGAAATTTTCCACGCCGAAAGCAGTACAATGGCCTTTCGTTTTTTTGTTTTTTTTTGTTTTTTTTTCTCATTAATGTCACTTTCATCCACACGTAGACGAATGAAAAGTTATACCCTCATCGTCACGTTAGCTTACTGGGAATCAAAGTAAAAACCTAGCCCAATCGGATAACTGCCGAGGAAACGAAAAAAGGGGGACCGGGCCCTCGATGGAATTGCACCACTTAGCGCAATATCGCGCCTGTACTTCGATACGCGCCCCGAAATTGCCTCCTTTTCCCCGTTTCTCATATCCCAAACGCCGATCCCGCCGAAACTTTCCTCTCGTCGACCGATCTAATAAATTTCCCCGCCCAATCAAAGCATACCTCACCCCTCGCATCGCAACTTCGCTAAACGAGCACCTGCAGCCCACAATACCCGCTTTGTGCCCTCGCGACGGCGCGTATAATTAGCACGGGCGTATAAGCACAAACACACGCGCCGGGCCGAAATTCAAGCTCGTAATTTGCTGGCTTGTGTTGCGCTGTTACAGGCTGTTGGCTGCTAATGCTGATCCTGCTCGCGCTACTTACGAGCCACCATCATCATCAGCATCAGCAATAGGACCGATCGGCTGCTTGGAAGGGGCAAACTGCCCGAGTTGTGCGGTGGGAAAAGAAGCAGCCGGGGAGCAAGAAGTGACTTTTGGACCCGCTGCTTCGCCGGGAGGAAGAAGAAGGTGCGCGCCGAGCGTTTGTACATAGTACGCGAGTGTGAACGGGAAAGGGGCGATGGCGAGTTTTTCGCTGCTTTGGCGCCGAGTTGCGAGAATGGCTGTTGTTGTTGTTGTTGTTGTTGTTGTTGTTGGTGTTGGTGTCGTTGTTGTTTATGGTTTCGACGTTTTGTCGCGGTGGAGCGGACGTGCAAGAAGCCGACGACGACCTCGATCTTTCTTTTTTTTGTCTTGGGTTCAAAGTTTGGATGAATGATGACGACTTCGTTTGTAGATGCTTAGATTACTGACGAGCCATTTGTGTTTTTTTTTCTTCGTTGGGGGGTGTCGTGAAATTTCGACTATTTTCCCCGCGATTAGGAGTTTTTGGAAGTTTAACGGAGAGCGTGTTGAGTACCGTACGATTCGAGAATTTTATTTTTGAGATGAATATTTTTTGGATACGAAAATATTTACCTATGGATGTCGATCTTCATACATGTAATTGTCTTATGATTTTGCGGCGAGTCTAATTACTGGTACTTTTTGATTCGTTTCATCGATTAGGGTTGAAATTGAGAAGGAGTAAGTATTAGTTAGGAAATTTTTATAGGAGTACATTCATTTTTGTCGACCATCAGAGACATGGACAGTCACTGTTTGTGTAAAAATAAACTGTAGTATAATCTTACATAAGCGCGAATGTAGATAAATCTTATTTTTTTAAGCTATATTTTTATTTTGTAAATTTATGAAACCTCTATGATTCGATATTTCATTTATGTTAGTTATTTTATGGAAAAAATTGAAAATTTATTTCCATTCTTGAAGTAAATACTTTGATTGATAATATAAATAATTTATATAAAATCCTTACGTGTAAAAACGTTTTACGACATTTACAAATTCAAATTCTCATTTTTTTTTTTTTTTTTTTTCTTTTTTTTGCTGTGTTTTTCGTTAAATTAGTAAAATAATTGTACGTACTTACTACAAAAATTGCACTGCACAATGAGAATTGTAACATTTTTATGCAGAAATATTTCCCTGCTTAAAAATATCGTAAACATATGCGTGTATTGTTTGCATGATAAAATAAAATAAAATAAAAAAGTATACTCTGTTTCTAACAGCAACTTTTGCAAGCACTATTATCAAGATTCTTGAATTTATGCCACTTTATTTTTTTTTTAATCACCTTGCACCATAAAAAAAATTGTTAATATCAATATTGAGTAAGACAATTGTAACTAAACTTTTTCGAATGACAATCTTAACCTGGCAATAATTGGAGCAACTTTTGCATTTAACTAAATATTTTCTATTGCACTTTTCTACACCAATCGACCCAACTACGAGCTTTTTTCCACCATTAAATTCCATTGTGCAGAGTCACGCCTAAAGTTGGCCTACATGATGTACATACATTACATGAGACTATACATACAGAACCTCAATAGAAAAAAAAAAAATATCAAATATACCGTATAGCGTGAGTGTTTGGATGTATTTTAGGCATTTAAACTCGTACGATTATTTTTCAAGGCCCATAGTACCTGCAGTTTTTAATCACAACATTAATTCACTCCAAGACAAATTTTAAAACGTGTAAAAATTCATGGAGCTAAAAAAAATTACTCTTACTCCTTTTTAAGATGTTTTTAAAATTTTTAGAAATTTTTAATTTATATTTAGAAATAAAAACTTTGTATACAAACTGTTTATGCTCATATTTGTTAAATATTGGAATAGTAAGATTATGTAATAGAAATAAGGGACATTACTGTTGTAAAAATTATTTGATTCGCAGCACAAAAATACATCCATATTTTGATACGATGCGTTGGTCTTATTTTTATTACATCTTTACGAGTACGATAAATTCCCCTTTCGTACTGCATCCTTTTTTCGACTATGCGAGAATGCCGAAAGGAACTTACGCAACCTCCTCGGGGATAAAAGATAGCTATATCCATTTCGTAATGGAGTTCTCATAATGCGATCCTAATGTCGTACTTGAAATCATTTTCCTTTTCTATCCACGATAAGCGAAATACCTTCCATTACGGAATTTAATAATATCGAATCGGATCTGAGTAATAGAAGACCAAATTATACCTCTTCTTTCGTAATTTCATTCGCGCTGCATATTATTGAATTATTTATTCTTCCGTAGTATTCTCATTATATTCTTCCGCTATTTCATTTTGGATAATGTTACGAATTTTCATCAACATCTAACAAATATGGAGCAATTGTAAAAACGTTTTTATGAACTTTTTTGTCTGTAAAAAGAAATTGCAAGGTCCAATTTTCAATATATACACAAAAAAATAGGTGTTTTCTCCTCGCACCAACGATGATTAATCTTTGTACACGTCATTTTTTTTTACTTATAAATATATGAGAAAACTTATTTATGATATTTAAGATGTTCATTTTTCGAATGGCACATATGCAACAACTTTCTTAATTGGTACTGTATTTATTATACTTGCTCAAAATTTTTATTAAAATAATGTTAAGCACGTGAGCCAAGTAAATAAAACATGACTGAAATCATGAATTTGAGTAATACTATTTAGATTTTCAATAGATATGTATTAACTAATTATCTGTACATGTATTTTTCATTGAATAATTTTTAGAAAAATCATTGATGATACAAGCATAAAAATTTTTAAACTATACTTTTTATCGAAACTTTCATAAAAAAATTTTAACTCTAACCACACGTTTACAAACAAAAATTTGTAAAAAAGCACTGCACGTCATTTCAAAAGTTTCTATTACTTAAAATTTCTTTCACTTGATAGGTATATGTACTAATTAAGTATGCACCTTGTATTCCTGAGTTGAGGGTACCATAAATAAGAGTAAAAAATCTTAATTATTTTATGCAGCTCTGTATCTGTAAAAAAATTTTCTCG